GTTCTAAATATTTAAATCTACAGAAAATTTCATACAAAAAAAAGAAAATGAAAATGTACATAGAGAGTGAAATCAGCAAGATGGTGGGACAGAAAGAAAGACTTGTACTTGTTTATCCCAACATGACAACAAAAATTTGGTATATATCTATGGACAAAAGTGTCTTTGTGACAGCCTAGTACAGTGGGTCACATTTATAATGTCAGCTCTTGGAGGCTGAGGTCAGGATCACTTTAGTCCAGCAGTATGAGACCAGCCTGGGCAATACACTGAGACCTCATCTCAAAAAAAAAAAAAAAAAAAAAATGCTTTCATGAGAGATTTTGGGTACAAGGAGGAGCTTGAAAAAAAGCACTGCTGAAGCCGCAGTGGCATTTTGAGAAGGTAGGCCCACATTCAGGTGGCAAATCGGAGGACCCCTGATCTTGACGACAGATCAGGAAATGGCCCACTCAGCTTGGTCCCACTGATAATTCGCAAGTGTCTATGTGGACATTTTTATCTTCTCCTAGCTATGATCTAGAAGTGATCCTGCCAATTCAGAGACCTGGAGGGCTATGCCCACTCATGGCCATGGAGACAGGCCCAGAGCCCTTTGCGCTCACTGTGATCTCTGAAGCAGTTCTGTCACTCAGTTCCACCTGTCTTAGCCACAGTTCATGGCCAGTGCTGCCCAGGGACCCACACAGTGACCTGGGGAAACCATCCCACATACTCAGTGGGAGCCACACTCACCCATAAACCTGGCATCAGGCCCAGCCTATGCAGACCCAACTGTAAGTGCCTGCCCTACAGACCAAAGTCACGAAGGCAATCCAGTCTGCCCACGATTAAGACAGGATTCACAACTACCCAAGCTTCTGATAACAGGCCCACACTAAAGGCAGTCCTCACTACATACCCAGCAGCAGACTTGTGACCCAGCTACAACCCCTTTTTTCTGCAACCCCAGAGAAATTCCTACCATCCTGGGAACCCAAGAATGGAAAATCTTTACCTGCTGAAACTAGCTTATAAAAACTGGAAGAGTGGGACTGCAAACTAGTTCAACCTGTATGGAAAGTTGAAAAAAAAAGAAAAAAGAATAATAAATTATAAAATTAAAAAAAAAAAAAAAACTGGAAGAAGTGTTTGCTCCTTTAAATACACAGACACCAATGCAAACCTATATTATGACCATAGTCAATGCTTCCATTAAACATAGTATTTGAAATCCTAGGCAGAACTATTATGCAAGAAAATTTTTTAAATGTGTCCAAATAGAAAAGAAAGAATTAAAAAAGTCAGTTTGTAGAATACATGTCCTCGTATACATAGAAAACCAAATAGTATACCAAAAAGCTGTTTAAACTAAAATATGCACTCAGTAAATCTGCAGAGTATTAAATGAACATGAAAATATCAGTGTTTCCATACACTAACAACAAACTATCCAATAGAATAAGTAAACAAACAATTTCATTTATGAAAGAACAAAATAAGGACTTTTTAGCAATAAATTTAACCAAGGAGTTAAAAAAGGTTTACACTGAAAAACGTATCAATGAGAAAAATTGAAAATGACACAAATGTAAATATCCCATGTTTATGGATTACAAGAATAAATACAGTTAAATTGCCATATAATCCAGAGTGATATATACATTTAATAAACTCCCTATCAACTACCCAGGTTGACAGAGTGAGACTCTGCTCTAAAAAAATAAAATGCTTTACCATGGGATTTTCCCAAATATACACAC